AGAGAAGAGTTAGGGGGTCTATAGCAAATTCCTATCACGATCTTCCCAGTTGCCCCACCGATCTCGCACCATAAGTGTTCGATTGCTCCACAGTTAGCCGAAGTGAGATCTTCTCTGACGCGAACGCCCAGTTCGGTTTTAGCGTACAACACGACTCCTCCCCCCTTTCTGCCGAGCCGATCCTTCCGAAAGATGTCGTATCCTTCGATCTCGAATTCCTTATCCGAAATGTGAGAACCTCCCCAAGTCTCGGTTATTCCGATGACATCGAAACCGTTGTCCAGTGCCCGCCCCCTGAGCTCGTCTATCTTATTACGTAAGCTGCGTGCATTCGCGTAGTAACACTTTACTCTTCCCTGCCTTTCCTGCACACCAGTACGCGGCGGTCTAAAGCTGCTCGTAGTGGCTGTCCCTTGCTTGTGATCCCTTGCCCCCCCATCTACAATCCTAAAAAAGGCTCATTTTCCTTCATGATAGCCAATCCTACTGCTCTTTCGAAAAATGTACTCCATCCCTAGCCATCGGACTTCTACAGCGACTCAAAGCCTCCCTAGTGTCCAGAAACACTGCCCCCTCCGCGATACATAACTCCTTCAACCTGTCAACCCCTTCCAACCTAGACCACGTGATTCCTCCCTTGTCTAGCCTGCTCGGGATCGCGCATACCGTCACCCGCACCCCCGACCTTGCCTCCCGACACGCCCTAATACTCGACTCGAAAAACTCGACACGAGTTCCCTCATCGCGAAAGGTTTCCCACCACACTCATTTTTCATCGCGTGTGGTTCTCTGCCTCGTTCTGAGGTTCGCTTGAATCCGACTTTTGCTGACCACTAGATGATGATCAGTGCTCAGTTCAGCCCTGCGCCACACCCTCACATCCATCACAAGTCCGCCGAAACAATCGCGTAATCGATCAAAGATTGCTGACACAGTACCAGTATGAATATCAGACCCTCTGTGTTAGGTGAACTTGCGGATATCCTTTTGCTGAAAGAAGGTATTGATGATGGTCAGGCCGTTGCCAGGACAGAAGTCGAACAACTTCCCATCACTCCTGTTCAGTGTGGCTTCTCCAAACCAGCCGATCACACCACTGCATATAGCTTCGTCTCTCCCAACTCCGCAGTGAAGTCTCCCACCAGCACAACGTGATCGCCGTTCGGAATCCTTTCTATTGTTCCATCCACCTCCTCCAAGAACGCATCGTAGTCTCTTTGTTCGGCCTGTAGACCTGAACGACGGTCAAGACTCCGACTCGCCTCAGTCTGAGGCGGATCAGAGCGACACGCTTGCTGACTGGTTCCTTTCAATTACGCTGTCAGCCATTGGGAACTAATGAGCATCTCAACTCCCGCCCGAACAAACATGGTTGAGCTGACTCCACTTCAGTCGAGGGTTCATCCGTCGTCGTCTGGGGTGATGGAAATGATGACTTTCCTCTTGGTTGAGGCCGGGTCAACTATGTCTAGTCGTCTCCTCCATGAGTTCAGGCTCCTTACCGACGAGTGTTAGCACATTCCAGGTCTGATATTCAGAGTCCGTTTTTGCCAAGGTCGTTTACCGTTCGATTCCGCTTCTGGTCTGCCCTTAGGGCATTGTGCCGAGAATACGCTATGGTCGGTGGCAAGCTAACCGATATGCTTGGATGTAACATGACGGTCTGACGCACCCAGAAACATCGGATTGCCCAGTAACCAACTTATCAATAGTCACCCTGGGAGCACAGTGACTGTATTCCTGATTATCATGGGCGGCGACTGAGCCAGTATTTAATACTCGAGCTGAAGACATCATGATCATGCTGCTTTTGGTTTGTCTTGGTCACCCTCAAAGGAAGCCTGTGGATGTTTGAAATTTTCTGATGCCGCTTGTGATGGACTTGTATTCCTAAGCAATTGTAGAGATGGCACTTCTATGCTGGAGAGTGTCAGGGGCACCAGCACCCCCAGAGAGCATGGAGCCCTGATCTCACCCCACCTGATTTTTGGCTGGAGGTTACTGCAAAGATCTCATCTACACTGAGAAGCTGTGTAGTATGAGAAAATTGAGGACTGTGATCCATTGATGAATGAGATGATCTGTGATGAATGAGATCCACAGAGACATGATTGAGCAGGCAACAAAGTCTGTTATACCTGATTTGTTCATAGTCCAGTTGAATTTCAGGGGTGTCATTTGGAAGATTGTTATTTGTTTGCTCGTAACTTTGAAGCATTGTCCTTGCTAAATGTTAAAAAGGAAATAAGCATGATTGAGAAATTTATGGGCTTCTGAATGGTGGAAGTCACTCTGAAAGTGGAATTGAAATCTGATTATGTGGTTTTGACTCACTCTGTACATGCATGAAATTTGCTTTTTGCTGGACATTTAATTTTCAAGACTCTATTCACGTTTCTTTAGAATTTTGAACATTAAGAAAATGCAACCCATGCCAAGAATAAGGTTTTACACAGGATATAGGTTGACCATGAAGTTATTGAAGGGTTTTGCATCTCTATAATTTCAAGATACATTTATGCAAGTTAATGCCATGTATACCTATGTTAGATAATTGATTTGATGTACATTAGGCCCTTCAGAATTGATAAATCTTTCAAATAGCAGAAACCATATGCATGAGTAGTTTTACTCAGTGTATTCTTTCATGAGACTCCAAAACACAGTGTAGGGTGAGATATTACCCTAGAATAATGGTCATGCATGTGAAATTCAAACAAAGCTTGTGAAGCAGTCCAATTTATTGCATGAAGTCTTGTCTTAAGTGCATATCATGAATAAGGCTTTTGTGATAATATTTCAAGTAAATGCATACTTTGCCTGAACCAATGCATGGTTCCTTATCTTATGTTTATGATCTGTGTTCACAAATAAAGGTTGTCCTCTGTCCTTTTATGTCCATCACAATAGACCAAAACAGATATGGGAGAGCCTTAGAGGAGAAGGCAACTCTCCCTTTGACTTTTTTGAGTCACAATGATTTCAAAGTTGAACTCATCTCACAAGAAAACTGAGGTTAATGAAGCTGTCCAGAAAATTAATTGCAGGCCTATCTACCTCTCTGGCGGTCTTCTCCTCTTTTTCAGCCTTTTTGTTTTGTTTAGGATGAGATATGTCCTGAATGTTAATTTATTGTTGGTAGATTGTTGGTTGCCTCAGGTATGTCTCTTTGAAATGGCAGTTTCATGGCAGATACTAGTATATGCCTGTTTTTTTGTGTCTTATTATTGATACCATGTTCAAGAGTGTAGCTGATGGAGAGTGTTATCTTCCAGCACAGCTATTTGCATTTCTGGAAGATCTCGTTGGGAAGAAATCCATACAATATGCCAATGGGAAGGATGGTCGAATGCGACGGGAACAATATGACAAGTGCTTTTCCCATGCAGCTTGCATATCTTACTTCCCCATCATCAAGAAAGTGAGATATTCCTCTCTTGCTTCGTGATTCATCTGTTGTTCTTATGTTTATCTGCAGTTTGGTGCAAATACCTGTTTGTCAGCTTGATGTTAGTGAATGTTGAATGTCTAATTCCCAAGCAATCCTAGACTCTATATAATGTTATTTTCATATATTGACAGTTCTTTTAAATGATTGATTGATCTCACAGAATCAATTAGTTGAACAATTCCAACACCATATAGGTGCCTTGAGGTTCACTGGAAAGCATGTGAGTCATTCCATGTCATGTCAATTTTTGCCAAAATTGGGCCAATGCTCTGCACCATTGAGAAACTGAGACACCTGGAATTTTTTCTCCTCAAATCACTTTGATCTCAAGTTCATTTGTGCAAACATTGCCTTTTTGATTACCTAATGGCATCCTGTTTTATTATTTTCTTAACTTCTTTCCTAATTAACCCTTTCACTGGCTTTGGGGCCTCCTGATGCCCAGGTTTTTCTGTCCATGTTTGACGAGGGCATCTTTTGATGCTCTGTGTCAGGGGTTTACTCTTTGAAGCTTCTGGCATCTTTGGAGCATCAGATGAACTAACAATGCCTGGAATCATCAGGAAACTTTGTGCAATGTGCTTAACCTAGAATCGATTGCCTTGTATCGATTTTGTTTATATTTTTCTTATGCTGATATCTTGAGTAACTTGGACAGATTCATAGCATCAAAGAAGAAGATCGGTGTGAGTGTTGAAGATATATTGTGAGCTAGCACTTGATTTTGAGAGTGACTACAATGAAACTGTTCTTGATTTAAGTGAAGACAGCAGACAAAGTCAGAGTTACTATACTATGCATTGTTGCTTCCATGAAAATTCCCTTATAGTTTAGGGTTGCCATTTAAATTTCTAGGCTTCTGCACAAGTCATGGGAGAATTAGTAGGCTGATCAGTCTTCTAATTCCATTGTCCTATCCATTACCAATCCTTGTCCTGGTTGGGTGTGAGGTTGCTGTTCTCCTGGTGTAGATGAAATCCAGGCAGAGGCTCTGAGAGCAATGGGCACAGATGGGTGCTCATCTAGGCTAGTATTATCTTCTGAAAGTCTTCTTGCCTTTTTGTTTATGCAACATATTACCATCTTCATGCCTTTCAAAGTGCATACCATACAATTTACCTGAAAAATTAAAACTTGGAAACCAACCTAGTTATAATGGCCTAGCTTGAACTTTGCCCATGTATATAAATTAGGGCTGTCAATCAATTAAAAAATTAACAGGTTAATCAATTTTTAATCGATCCCATAGTTCCTTGTTGAATGTGGCAAATGGAAGATGGTGCTGATGAATGCAGGAAGTCAATTAAATTAACCCTACAGTGCATGGCAAGCCACATGTGGCACATTCAGGTTTTGCCTTCTTCAGCAAGGCACGGATGAATCTTAAGTGTCCATCTGCATAGGGTTGCAAGTGGAACATTCATTGAGTCGAAGTAATAGGTAGGGGAGTGCTTGGTGGCAGTAGTGTTTTTTTTTTGCAAGGGAATTGTAAGGAGGCAAATGGCAATCGTATGAGGATGCATGTTTAAGATCTTTTGCTTCCTCTAATAGCCTGTTCTTCCAATTGGATAGTGTGTGAAAATTGGGAATTGCTTTAAGTAAGTGCCTACTACTTATTTATAGCTTTAGTCTACTTCGGTGTATTTCCATGTTCTGATTCCTGCATGAATTATGCATGGGACAAATCTGGTGCATCATGCATTCAGGCTCATCCTTATGACTGATGCAATGCATCGCCCTGTGTTGCCCCAGTCCAGATATATTTGAATGTCTCTCTGTGAGAAGCCATTTTTATTCATGAATTTTATTGGAATCATGGATGAGGATGCCATCAGGTTTAAGCTGGAAGTACCAACAGACAGTGAGGATAATTTTGACTTCTCAGAAGATGACCTTAATGAAACATCTGTTCCACAATGAGAAGCCAGGAAAACTGATTCAAGCAAAAGAGAAATTACTCCATTTGTGAGACAATCTTTGCTTGTAAACCATTTGGAGCCAGTAGTGACGACATCTGGTGATCAATGAAGGTGCACCTATGATCTCATAGAAATATGACCAAATTTTAGTTTTAGCACATCATACTATATCCCTTTCATAGTTGGCATGGAGCGCAAAGCCCATATTTCCCTCCATTCATCTTTAAAATACAACAATCTGATTCTCACAAAAATATTCAAAACCTGGTTTCTCAGCTGTGAAGAAAGCCTTGGGCCTGGCATGTCATTACAGACAATGACAGGACAACCCATGCATGAGGTCCCAGACCGCTATCGCAGTGTCTTGTGGAAGAAAGCAAACATGCCACCACCCACAAACAAATTTTCTGGCATCAAGGCCCTCTCTCAGAATCTTCTAGATCTTGGAACATCCTACACATTTTTAAAGCTCTTTCAGGCTAAGTGAATCGCTTAAGTGAAAAATTACATTTGTGTAATACCTAATAGAGTGGGAAACCTTCCCTCCCTTCATCTCTATGTTGTGATGAAATATGAGGGGCAATCAATACGTTCCTGGAACACCTTTGTAACTCTGAGATCCCTCACCTGAGGGAAATGTTACCTATAGCATTTAAAAGCCCATTCTTTAATGTGCGTTTGGTACTAATTATTTTTTAAACATATATTTATCGTAGATATGACCTCTGGGGGTCCATGTAAAAATGACTGGGAAAATGTGCAATTTTCTGACCTTGAGAGTCGTGCATGCATCAAAGTACACTCTCTGCTGAAATGTGCAGTCAAGGACATTTATGAAGGCCTAATAAACGTCATGGGTCACGGTTATTTTCATAACATATTTATGAATATCCAATTTGGCAGTGATCGTACAGTCTATTCAACAGCAAAATACTCACTTGGTTGAGGATAAAATATTTTATGGATCGGGCAGTGAGAGGCAAGAAGTCAAAGAGATATGTGTATATTTGGCCTCTAGTAGGTCATCAGGGGGCTAAAGATTTTTGACACACTTCAGTGTTGTCAGATAAAGGACAGCACCTTTCAGTCAGCTGAGAGAGATCCATTGGGATCCTGCTTCACCTAATTGAACGGAAAAAGTTGGCAATTCTGATTTTCAAGGAAAATCCCTCCATTAACCATGTCTTAGGTGAGGAGCATGAGTGATATTTAATGACTGAGGCTTGACACGACTGTTGACATGTCGCATAGAAGCCACAAGTGTATTTTTTGAAGTGGAATAGAATATACTTGATGTATGCACAACTCTCAAGGTAAAAAAAATTGCACATTTTCCCAGTGATTTTTACATGGGTCAGTCCCAGATGTCATATCTATGATAAATATGTTTAAAAAATTAATAATTAGTACCGAATGCACATTAAAGAATGGGCTTTCAAATGCTATTATTAACATTTCCCTCTGGTAAGGGATCTCAAAGTTACAAAGGTGTTCCTGGAACTTATTGACTGCCCCTTGTATTCTTTTGTGCTATGGTTAATGCATAGTGTGCTATACAGGGTTGTGCAAAAGAATACAAGGGGCAGTCAATAAGTTCCAGGAACGTATTGATTGCCCCTCATATTTCATCACAACATAGAGATGAAGGGAGGGAAGGTTTCCCACTCTATTAGGTATTACACAAATGTAATTTTTCACTTAAGCGATTCACTTAGCCTGAAAGAGCTTTAAAAATGTGTAGGATGTTCCAAGATCTAGAAGATTCTGAGAGAGGGCCTTGATGCCAGAAAATTTGTTTGTGGGTGGTGGCATGTTTGCTTTCTTCCACAAGACACTGCGATAGCGGTCTGGGACCTCATGCATGGGTTGTCCTGTCATTGTCTGTAATGACATGCCAGGNATCGCTCCAGCCTTCATCCCTTGCTTGTGCAGCGCGATGATAGCGCCTCGATTATCTTTAGGCTTCATGGCTCTAGAGAAAATAATTTATAATAAAAACATTTCGTATCAAAAAACTCCGTAGAATTTAAAAAAACACGTCAGAGTCGCCAAAAATCCGTTGATTAGTGATAAAAATTATATTTTCAAAGTGTACGGGAACTTTTGCACAACCCTGTATATGTCACAAAGCAAAAATGTGAAAATTCCTGAGCTAAAATAATTGGAATATTTTAAAAATTATTTTTCCCTTTGACTAGACCAAATTCCTCGATTACCTGATTTTTTCATTACTTTCTGAAGAATCATACATTAAAGGGTTAAATGTTAGAAAAGAAGTGCAGAGGCCCTTTGTTAGTTATCCAACTCATACCAGACAGATGCAATGTCACCTAAATGACTTGTGTTTACAGAGACACTTCCTTGTGTGAAGATTCGGAGATTCAATATTCCTGATGTCTGGTTTTTCCCGGATGTGTCACCTTTTTTGCCTTCAAATTTCCATCCAAGCAGAATTCATCCACTTTTTCGCTGTCCAATATATAGTAGTCCAAAATAATTATCACAGGCAACCACAGGATGGAAGAGTGGAAAAAGGAAGGAATAGAAGAGGATTTGACACTTGTTTCTTCATCTCTAACCTATCCCTCCCACTGTTCCCAGCTCTCCCCCTCTTCCTGCTTCTTCCATGGGGATCTCACTCACCTTCACTCACACATTTATACATGTGCCTCTCAGTCCCTAGTCCTTGGATTTTTGTCTTTCCTGCCTCTCCTACCTCATGATCCCAGTCTAAATCTCATCTCTCTGCGAGTTCCCTTGCAGTTTCTTCATTTCGACTTATTTATTTCCTCATGAGTTTCTTTTTTAAATATACTGAAAGTAATGACCATGCTTTTGTGTTTCCTTTTTCCAAAAATAGTTGGTCATTTGTACTGAAGAGGGAGCAGTGTGAAAATGGCTACCTTATCAAGCCATTGTTTCATTTCATTCCCTTTGCAAAGCATACTTTTTGGTCATTGTGCAAGACTATGCACTCCAGTCAGATTTTAAGAGAAGAAAGAGGCATTTGGGCAGAGATTGGGAGGTTGATTACCATGCTATTCAATTAGACTAGTTTCATTTGTGATTAAAACTTGACTTGGTTAATCAGTCAATTAATCTAATGACATTGACAGCCCTAATATAAATTCATATGTATCATGCAAAGAGACATCTGTGCTAGCCTAAATTAATCATGTTTTCTGCTATAGCATCATTTGCATGATGATCTCATGTACCTGTTCATGATCACACTTCCCTCTGGCAGGGGCAAGTGTGATAAAAACAGCTTTTTTAGCCTAAATACTTTCTTTTTTTTATTGTTTGTGAAGTCAGCAGCTAAAAATATCCTTGATTAGATGCTGACAGTCTAAACAATGTTGTGCTCAAAAATACTTATTTACAGCTGCCATAAAACCAGCTTTACCAACTATTCAAAAATTTTTTTTTTTTTTTTTTTTTTTTTTTGTTCAATGACCTTTTATTACATAGCATGCCCTTTACAGAAGAAAAGGATATGAAGTGAGGATAGTGACATATACAGAGTGGGGTATAGAAAGTATTTGATGAATCGAATTGATGATGGTGGGAACTTAGCTCTGGGCCTGGTCCTGTGGGTTCATTTCCATTTGGGAGGTTGAGATGTTGCTTCAGTGGTCTGCTCCAGTGGAGGCCACAGGACAGACTGTTCCCCCACCACTGTAGGGGTTTAATTTGAATTTTAATCAAAAATTGAATTTTAATTCTTTTAAATACAATTCTCCAATTGACTTAATTGGAAAAAAAAATAGACCCATTCATGTGTAACATGCATGCCAAAATCCTTTATAAATTATTCTGTTGGCAAATTTTGCCTTCATGGAAAACTACCCCTTCTAAAGCTTTGAGATGACATGGAGACACAGTTGGCCCTTGCTATTAGGCTGGCATAGAGAAAGTCATGTTTCCAGAGGTATTTAAAGCACAATATCAGGAGAACCAATAGAGAAAATAGCATTTTTCAATTTGTCCTTGTGCCAGCATGGTTGTAAGGTAAATGTGCTCTCAGTCACTAGCCCATTGATCCATTAATTTCCCCAAAAAGGTGGCATTTCCATTCCATCTTGCATTCATTAACATTGTGTTCCTTGTGGCAGGTGAGTGATGATCTGGTAGAGCAGCTGCAGAATGTCCCAGTTGGTGATCACGTGCCAGTGCACAAGTACATGACTGCATTTGCCATCAAGAATGTTCTTAAGTGCTGCTTTGGTGGCATATCTGATGAGGATATTGTTCACATTGCTCTGGAGTATGATGTTGTGAGTCCTTTCTTTGCTTGCTGCTTCTTTCTTTCTTTTCTCTGACATTTTTTCTCTCTTTCACCCTTTCAGTCAGAGTGCTCAAAATGTCTATGCACCATTTTATTGTGTACTTTTAGCCTGAAGAACAGTGGTTGAGACTTGTGACCACCCCTCATGAGTAGTTTCATGAGCCATCTAGTATTTGACTTCCTGAACTCTTCACATAAAAGGGAAGAACACAACTTAAACTTTATAACAGCTAGCAACAGCTGCATTTAGTTGAATCAGCATTAAACTTCAAAATTGAGTTGTGTGCCTCAAAGAGTTAATGGGTGGCTCATGATACCAAAAATAAAACAGGTCTGCATAGTAGTTCTGTCAGAGCACTCTGTCCCTTTGTGACAAAGTGCTTTAAGGCCCATGTGCTTGACACACCCTAAGCAAAGGGATGCATCAGCTCTTAGGTGATCTTAACTCCAGTGCTCTTGCCAATGTCTTTCTTGTCAGGCCATCATGCCAAAGTTTTCTTTCATGACACTTGTATACAGGATGGCCCATTTAAGTATATATAACGTTGTTTGGCTATAGCTTGTGTATATTTTTACCAATTTCAATCATATTTTTAATATAATAATAAATTTTTAATATATATAATAATTTTGAATTATTTTGATGAAATCACTGTTGAAATGAGGCGAAAAACATTGTTGGATTTCTGTTAGTGTCTTGAGCACAACCTGGAAAATGGTGGATTTCATGTTGAAGTGCATAACTCATGAATGGCATTTCCAAATATTGTGAAAATTGATCAAATAAAATTCTAAGGTCTACACTACTTTGTATTAAAATATTATTGAAATTGGTAAAAATTTATGCAGGCTATAGCCAAGCAAAATTGTATATACTTAAATGGGCCATCCTGTACAATGCTTATATAATTGTAGTGGAAAATGTTTTATTTCCTTCACTGGAAATATCCTATACAGCATTAGCGTATCCCAAAGATATCCCAGAGATATTCCCTCAGGACAAGTGAGAAGTCCCAGATAATAATTGCATGGACATCTCAGTGATATCAAAATATCTTTCATTTTGAAAAAGGCCTTCCATTCTGAAATTGACTCTTTTTCTGTCATGCAGGTCAACCCTTTATTTTCTAAAATATATCTACTTGATCTTCTAGGACTCCCAGAAAAAAATGTATTCAGGATGTGCCATGAAAACCTTGGGATATGTTGTCTAGTTGGGGCCATCCCTGGGATGTCACTATGCTGTGTGGGATATTGAACCTATAAGCAGGACCCTCCCTTCCACCCTGAGACTGTCTCAGGGTAAACTCTAAGGAGGTTAAAAAAGCAAATAATGTCTTCTGCACAACATCAAGCTAAAAGTCATATTTCAATGTTACCCTTAAGAAGAAATATGTGGGAGAGGAGTTCTCCAAGAGCATGTTGAAACATAACACCCTTTTCTTCTACATAAACCACTGAAGGTATTTTAACAAGTTGCAAGAGATTGGAGGAGAATGGACATTGCTTGTTGAAAGAATGAACTTATATCAAATCCAACAGTCACATTTGGGTGTAGTTAGTTCCAATGCCTGGTTTATGGTATGCATGAGATTTTAGTACATCCTTCCTTTGAAGCACCATTGGTTGTATGAAAATATTTTTTCCCTATATCAGGTGAACATGAAGAAATGGAAGAGTAAAACTTTGTATGAGGAATATATGAACCTGTTTAAGCATCTACAATACCTACAGAGGATGGTAATATTACCCTACATGTTGAATAAGAAAACTGAACTGTTGAACTAAAACCTTGGATGCATTGGCTCAAATTACAGTCCATCTTCACTTAAACCCATCCCCAAAGTAAACTGAGCTATGTCTGAACCTATTTTAAAAGTTCACCTCCTGAACCTGTTTTCAGGGGCCAATTGTTTTTCCTTGGTGGGTGTTCATATTAATTATTCTCCTTAGGTACTACAAGTTCTCCCCTAAAACCCTAAAACTCTCCTAAAGTCTTATCACCATCTTTCTAATTCTCCCATGGTTGCTTCATGTTTTCTCCTGAGTCTGTTCATTTTTTGCCACCTTTTTCCCTTTCAACTCTGATGTATTTTAATTGCTTCATTTCATTTGACTTCATATCTTTTAAATCAGGTTTAGATATCCCCAGAGAAGAGGGCTGTGTGTCCATGAACCATTGGTCTCCTTTTTTTTAATCACAAACTTACCTTTTTGATGTAGCTTTTTAAATTTTTTTCATAAATCTAAAATACTCTGGCCATTTGTATTAATGTAGATGCTGGTTGCACCAAGTGCAATGGCTGGATACATGACTTGGAATGTTCTCATTTTACTTCCTTGAAGTTGAGGGAGTTGATGACATTCAAGGAATATTGTTGGCCATACCTTGAGGTGTCAGTTATCCTTAGTGGTCTCTTAAATGATTTAAAGGGGTGTCCAGTGTGTGGGCCTAAGTTGCTAGGCATGTAAAAGGAAATTGATGTGAAATGTGAATCTGGAAATGGAATGCATGCTGCCATCATGGAAGATTGTTATTGTAATTTCATTGTTGATTGTTATTGTAAGAATCATTTCCAACTACAATTTCAACCAGCATGGTTCAAAAATAGAGTAATGTGTTTATTTTTCAGTCTTACATAAGTGTCAATGCTTAGCACAGGATTTGTCTCTCTAAGGAACAGGGAACTGGATTTCATTTTGCAGACTGTCCCAATCCAAGCATAAGAATATCAACATTCTTTTCCTCTCAAGGCAATGAATGAGATGCAGAGGAAACTTTCAGGCCAACTGCTGCCAGATGAAGATCCAAGAGAGCATAGGTACAGGAAGAGTCTGAAGGTTCTTCATGGAAGTGTTAAACGCATTGTTGACCATTGGAGGAAGGAAAGAGGAGGAGCCAGAAATGGAGAGGATTCCTCTCATCTCTTTCTTGACACCATAATTGATTTTGTGGAAGGAAAGGCTGAGCTATCTGAGCAAGAGAAATTGGACATAATCTATTCAGACACCATGAGCTATCTTGTAGGAGGATTCCACACTACTGGAAATTGTAAGTTTCTGATTTTATATCCTTGTAATGTTTGCTGACCTATCAATTATATTTATAATTAAGGAGCAGTCACTTCATTCCCCTGCCTGAACAAGAATTCCTGGGGGAATGCTCATCCCTGCTCATCTCATCCGTAAAGGAGGCTCTCCCTTCTGCATATATGGGCCCAGAATCAAGTTGGATTAGTATATTATGCCAACCCCAATTAGAATCAATATTCTACCCTACCCTTGTAGGAAATAAGACAACTGACATTTAAAAACACCCTTGGAGTTTGGAAGTTTATGTGCTCTGTTATATGTGGCATTGTCAGCAGCAATTGGTAGTCATATTGTAACTAGGTCTTACCCTCAGCATTACCCAACGAACTTTGCTAACCTACCATGGGGTCAATTGAAAACATGAGGAAGACAGAGGAATTGGCTGTCACAGCCATACTTAATGTACTTATTCTCATAGAAGGGGGGAAATTTTACAATTACATTTACAATTGAGCTCATCCCAATTCCACACATAAGCCTTGCATTTTGTGAAAACCCTTGGATGTAAGTGGACATGGGAGTGCCTGCGTGCATCTGCCTACCTACCCAAGCATTGATGCAAAGGACGCATGGCCCACAGAGTGTGAAATTATTTTTATTGAATATTGGTTGGTAGAATGTTGGATTATCAAGATATCAGAAAACTCAATATCGTTAAATCCCAACTTTCCATTACATGAAGTTAATTGTGTGGTATTAAATACCATCTCAAAGTTCTCAAGGAAGTTTGCCTAGCTTTTGCCCCAGTTTCACTCCAAAGCTTTTATAATTCAGGATGTCTCAGAAAACCTTCCATGTGTTCAATTGAGTAGAACACAAAAGATAAAGAAGCAACATTGAAGAATAATATACTGCATTGAAGGCTTCCTTCTTGACTGAAAGTTATACCTCAGAGATTTCCATATGGGCATTAACGTTTCAATGTGACATCCATTTGAAGTGACCCCAGTCAGCATCAGAGTGCATCTGACATCAACAGGGAAAATAATCAGTTGATTTTCTTACCATAACCAGAGTGATATGGTTATAACAAGATCTGGGACATTATGGAGTTGGTGACAACCATCTCCTTCAGATCCCCTCAACCAAAAATCACCAACTGTCAAATCAGGCAACCTCGCTGGCCACTCACGGGCCCCTTTGCACCCAATCCACCATCCTGGTGAGTTTTCCTCCAAAATGTTATGGGCCTCAATAAGAAGTCATGATATCTATCCTGACCTTTCCACAATATCGGCACTATTTTTTCCAGCAGGATGGTGCTCCACTACATTACTCCCTTGAGGCTTGCAACATTCTAAAGGCACACTTACCCAGACAGTAGATTGGGCACAGAGCCCCATGAGTGAACAATGAGGCTGCCTGATTTGACAGTTGATTTTTGGTTGTGAGGTTATCTGAAGGAGATTGTCACTAAACCCTGTAATATCCCACATCTCCTTGCAACCATATTCCTCTGACTTTGGTGAGAAAAGCAATGGATGATTTTCTCCGTCAATATCAGATATGCAGAAGGGGGAGTGTGTGGAAGATTTTCTGGGACATCCTGCACATTTAGACTTATGAAGTCTCCATTTTGGGCAAATTAGTCTAATAGCTTCAATGCTGGTCTAGCAATTAGCTATGTTGGATGAATAAGCTGACCATTGACTTCAGTCTTGGTTTCCCACCCGCTGCAGGATTAAATTGCATCGTCTGCCTCAGCAAAATGTATTCAGATGGTGAATTTAGTTGTTGGCCAGCAATTTATAAATTCTTATTGCAAGATTGACAATAGAACTATGCTTGCTTAGCAGTGAAACCCCCTTGAGCTGACCACTCATGTTTCCACGTAAGAATGGTCTTCTCAAGGGATTTAACCCCTTGAGATGACCGTGGGGGTGTAACCATGGGGTGAAACCATTCTAGAACACCACAGAATTTACTTTTTCATGTCATTGCCATCTTCTGTTTGGTATCTTCATTGCCATTTTCTTCCCACTCTTTCAAATAGCTGTCTTTCTTGGTGAGGGCAGCTTGAATTTGAGTTTTGCTGTATTGGAATTCATTTACAAGAAATCGTTGTGATACAGCACTTACACTTTTCCAACGTCCCACGCATCTCCAATGCCACAGATTGCAACGAACTGCGACGGTCGCAGTGGTCGCAACGCAGCTCTTCATAGCCAGTGTGCATGGCCCTTAAGGAATACTTGCAAAGGAATTCTGTCACTGAGCCCCCGCATATTTCTCAACAAATCACCGCCTATGATTCTATCACTGAAACTTGTGTACAGAGGCACAAGCAAGAAGTGAGTTTCTATGCTGAAGATGGATAATTGTAGATAGCGTAGGGTTGATCCTCCCATATCGTTGATGGATGCATCTTTCCAAAATCATTTTGAGCTTCTCTGGGCACCCCCGAAACTTTTTAAGCGTAAATTCAGCAATTCGGTTTAGTGTGCTTCGAGAAATTCTTGCTTATTGGTACGAATGCTGCTGACAGACGTTTTTACCGCGTATTTCAATCTTCATCGACAAGATCTTCGTTCCACCAAATCAGGCATTGAGTTAATGAAAAGCAAGGCTTCATTCAAATTTCCAACAAAATATTCTCTTTTTCCTCCCTGTATCCTTCAAATCAACGAAGAAATTTCGATAGGAAGTAACTGCCATAGATAAATGTTTCGAATTGTTTTTTTATTTACTTATTTTTTAAATCTCGCATGGACCTTTGGGAAGTGGACACGGTGAGCCACAACGAATAAAAACGAAGATTCGAATAGAAACGAAGCACATTTGTTTCTGATTATGAAGTTTAGATTTCCTGCAACTGTTTCAGCTCTGATTCTGAAGGAATCTTGAGAGCAAAAACAAATGAACTGAAATGAAATGACTGAAATAGAAAGTACCAATTTGAATTTGTTTGATTTCTGATTAAGTCCAACATAAATTATACGAAGACTAACTATTAAAAAAAGTATGAAAATCCCCTCAGAGACAAAAAAAAAGTACGACTAGAGTTTCTGTGGCAATAAATGGGCTAAAACTAAAATGAAAATTATTTTGAGGGAGTTAAACTACTATGGAATTGAGTTAATGACCCCTTCGATTTCTTCTCTAGACTTTTGCTTCTTGCCTTTCGTCTTGTACATGTTCTTTTGCGTAACGCACGAGGAGAGTGAATATATTTTTTTAGAAGCCCATGAGGCTCTTATCTTGCCTACCTTTACGTGACACAAATGCAAAAAGGTCCGTATAATGCCACATACATTAATACAGACTTCCATAAAGTGTGTAACATGCCTCTAGACGTGTTCGCCTCTTCCGGATATATTACCAGTTGAATTAGAGGGAAGCCTTATTATTTTTTCATCTACTCACATTGATAGTGCCTCTGGCGGTTGGTCGAGCCAGAGATATCACACTGTCGCTCTAATCCTTAGACATGATACTGTATATTTCAGAGGGCTCTGTCCATTGGCGTATTTTACGGGGGAGGAAGGAGGGGGGGGGGGGGGGCAGCGGAGCTCCGCCTGAGAAGCCCCTTGAAGGTAGTTTTCTCCCCTGATATTGCTCGGGTGGGGTTTGGCGCTCCGCTCTGTTGCCCTGCCTCTCCCTGACCCTTAAGTCAAAATACGCCATTGGGTCTGACTCAATTAGGTTGGACCACATGGAATAATTCAGGGTTGGTTGGGAGCCACATTGACGGATTCAAATATTCAATATGAAAATGTTTATTTTTAAAAGCGCCTTTTCGTCAACAACAGCTGGAGAGTTTCGCGGGCAAGACGAAATGGACTGACTAGTCCGCCGCCAGTTTGACACTGCTATTATATTCTAACATAAAATATGAATAAATATATGCTATTCAAATGAGACCAAACGCTGGAATTATACATTGCCATAATTCAGAAAAATAATATTGGGTGCGTCCGATCATTTAAACCCCCCCGTTTTCAAAATACACCAATTTTCACTGTTTTTCTCCGTACAATTTCAACTAGACACCCTGTACGATTTTGGAACTCCCAAGTATCATGTAGAAGAAGAGGCTGCTTATGTCATTGGAGACCACTAATTTTCATTAGTTTTCGTTGAGTTCAGCCTCAAAGCATTCGAAAGAGACACCAAGCTCAAATGTGGAACAGTTACGCTTTTGAAAAATGATAGGATTTTAACAAATAATTCCCCTTCGACATCGGGGAGCCCCCGATTGGCTGCATACAAATTTTCAGCAGATTCTGCCCCGTAACGGTTGAAGGAGACATGATGTTCGAATTTCAAACGGCCTGGTATAGGTGGTAGATCTCTTCAGCAAGGGAAGCATATCAATTGGATAGGACCGACTCGCCGATCGGACGAGTAGCTGCTTTGCTAATCAAGTTTCCGGTACGGTGCGGGCGAATACTTCCCTGAGACCTACAGTTTTGAAGTTTAGAGACCTAACCAGCCCGCGGGCCGTCCCGATCAGTCCAACACGAGGCGAGGCTCGGGCCCCGTAGAACTCGGCCGACGATCAAATTCTGGGTCGGGTGTGGGGCGTGATTCCACTCATGCGGACCGGGTCGATTTCAGAAAATTCATCCGTCTAGGCCTCTGACAGAAAGGTTAGAGAAGAGAAAGGAAAACGAACAGAAATAAGGAGGAAATCAAAAGCGAGTAGTACAGTGGATGATTATTGGCTCCTCACATCCCTGGACAGGGGTAAGCAAAGGGAAAACAATCCTAGGCAGGTGAGAGACTGCGGGAGGAGAGGGAGGGAGGAAACGATAGTGCGTCGTCTGCTACAATTTACGTATATCAGAACGAGGATAAAGCCCTACCATTCGATAACCCACAATCCTAGAAAGACGATTCAAGTATCATCTGAATTGTGGATCATTCTGCCACATGATGCGCGGAAGCAGCTTTGCGTATTATGCGAGGGAGGAGGCATGCAGGGGAAAACGTGACCGATTCCTGCAGGATTCTCCGACTTGACATCAATCAAATCACTATAAATCAGATAATTATGCATACAGGTATATTGGCATATAAATTTGCACGTCCCTTCATGACAGTTGTCTAAATATCGGTACACAAAAATCGTGACATCTCCATTTCGTCCTCGAGTAATCCGGGTCCGAAGTACGAAATAGCTAAAAAAAAAAAAAAACCGTGATTTTCGAGAGGATTTTCAAATGGCACGCAATAACTGTCAATAACATTTGAACGCCACTTTGCACGAAGATTCAACTGGACTTGATGCAAAATCGTACTTATGGATTCTGGAGGCGTCTCTTACAACGGATTTGGGAGGGGCAAACGTGAGGCGTAACGAGACGAGATATTTAAAAAATCCGTTCCTCATCCCGAACCCGTGGTAGCATCATCAAGAATTTTATATCAGTGTTTAGAATAGAGTCTAAGGAAGAGAATGAGACAAATTTCAAAGTTCTGCGTGGAACGATGCTGGAGATAAAAGCCTCAAGAGACCCATCGAAATCGTGGCCTTTGTCCACACCGTTGACATTTGAGTCTCGAAAAGTGGTTCTTGGGCCCTCCGAGGTCCCTAGCAATAATTATAGAGCAGAATTATGATCCAGGGTGGTCAGTTTTTTATATTTTATATGTATCTTAAGTTGTTTGCTGTAAGTAACAGTATCTCAGTAAGGCTTGTGAAGTACTGATTGAATTTTGGAGCTGTAGATTGTAGGTGAATTGCATATTTGTCTGCATAACATGAACCATGCTATGTGTCATCATAGCTTTGATATATTTTTCTTTAAAGTGTTGACATGGGTGATCTACCACATGGCAGCAAGTGAGGAAGTGCAAGAGAGAGTGTATGAAGAACTGAGAAGTAGAGGGAATGATGCAGAGGACTTGCAGCATTGTTTGTACACTCGACGTGTGCTAGATGAGTCACTTCGCCTTAGCATCCTTGCTCCGTTTGCAGCCCGGTATCAAGAGTTGGAGTGCTTCCTTGGCAACCATCACATACCTCGTGGAACTCCCATCATTCATGCTCTTGGGGTTGTTCTTCATCACCCAACTTTCTGGGCCCATCCTCACAAGTTTGTTCTTCCTTTTTTTTATTTATTAAATAATTATTTCAAACTTTTTTCTGTCTCATGTCTGGAAGTAAGTTTGAGTTATAAGAAGTGGGGTAAACAGTTCAATTAAAAAAGAACTCCCTCAGTGCCAGTCAAAAAGTTCCTATACACATTTTTTTCTGGAAAAACTTACTAGAGTAAGGTACTTGGATTGGCTTGAGGTACAAGGATATGATGTCTTTCATACTAGTTCCTTTGGGTAGTCTTGCACTTTTTTTTTTTAGCAATGTTGTACAGTTGTGTGAAATAGGGTTGAAGACTTTGCCACCACTATCAGTGCTGCTGTCGCAGTAGCTTGCACCCTCTCAACCTCATCAATATGATGACCCTTTAGCTGAAAATCCAGGCATGGGAAGGGAGAAAAATCACTTTTAGTCAGACCTGGTGAATATGGGTGTTGGGGATGGACAGTCACCTTGTGCTTCATGAGGTAGGTCACCACAGTAATAGATGCATGGGCTAGGGTATTTCCCTGTGGCAACCACTCTCCAGATCCCCAGGTGCATGGTCATTTTCTATGAATGGCATCACCTATGTTGTTGTTGTTGAGAATGTGAAGATGAGCCTTTCGCCTTCCCGGCGATTATGGCTCAGTGATCTGGATTGTAGGTCTTTGTGAGATTTCTCACTGCACATTAAAGAATAACTTAGAAGTAGGGGGGAACAAACACAATATCTAAAATTAATACCCTGGATAAGTTTACTGCCCCACTGCGCCGATCAGGGGGACTTACACGAGACAACACATCGGGGTCAACAGGCCTTGTTAGGACATGAGGGAAGGAAGGTTCAATTCATATGACTAGAAGAGAGAGAGAGAGAAAGAGGGAAAGGGGAGCATTGCATATCATGTATACTAGGGCCTGATTTTAAGAAAAGGAATTAGGGTTAGTCTGATTTAGTTGAGTTGGATCAACTACCAGTGGGTTATAGCAAATTTAAGAGACCACTATCTTGTAAAAAGTTTCTAAAAGCTGAAAAAATTAATCCATTCTGCTCAGGAGTGAGACCACATATTATGGCATCACCTAATAATGATTTGAGTCCTTGGTCCCAAGTCCTCGAGTCCTTGGTTCATTTAATGACGTTCTAAAAGTGCAACGTTGTCTTCTATATTTAATGCAGTCGAGAAGGATGTGTGTGACTGTTTCCTGAGTATGACATTCAGAACATAAGGGGGAGGTCACTTGGTGCAGCCGATATAAACAAGAATTGATTTTGGTGTGGCCAGTTCTTAGTCGACTGAGGACAACTTGCAGTCTTCGGGAATCACCTTCAATATCCCATTTACCTAGGATGGGTTTTATGGCATGGAGGTGTCGTCCCTTAGGGGAGGAGTCCCATAGTCGTTGCCAGGAGCTCCATATGGCCCTTTGAATTTTGCTTGCTAATTCTGAGTGGGTGTAACAAACGTTGACTGGATCAGAGCAGAATTTTGCCTCTTTTGCAAGGCGATCTACCTCTTCATTTCCTTTGATTCCTTTATGGCCAGGGATCCATTGGATTGTAACTAAACACGGGAGGTCTTGAATAATTTCAAGGAATTGCTCCACTAGAAACATGTGAGGGGATGTGATGGCTCTCAAACCAAGTAAGGAAACAACGGAAAGTGAATCAGTAAAAATTACAACTTCACCTTGGGTTTTAGTTTTCTTCACCCAACACAGGCTTTGAAGGATAGCTAGAGATTCGATTACGAAGATTGGAAGATCCTTTCTAACACTAGCTTGACGGGAAACTTGTTTTGTAGGAATCCAAAACGCATAACCTCCATTGCCGTCTCTATCCAAAGATCCGTCAGTATAAATGTGAAGAGCCTGGTTATAATTGGCTATGGTTGCAAGAGCAGCTTGTTCAGTAGAAAATGAATCATTGTAATGTAAAAGAGAAGAGTTAGTTTTGAAAGGAAGCTTTATCCACGGGGGGAACTTCGAGTGGGAATAGAGAGGGGCACGTTGAAGATGTTCTAACTTATAGTTCTTCAACATCCCCGTACTCCATACTGAAAAAGGGGGTTGTTTCCAGTGATCACTCCAGGTAGAGAGATCTTCTGAAATGCATTTTTTAGAAGCGAAATGGTCAGGCAAGCTTTGTGTTTTGCTCAGATACATTAGACTCAAATACCTGAAGCGGAGATACAAAGGGGGAATGTTTGTATCTACATCTAGAGCATTGACTGGAGTAGAGCGGAGAGCGCCAGTGGCTAGACGCAAGGCCAAATTTTGTATCATGTTCAAAGGTTGTAGTGACGTATTAGAGAGGCATGCTAGGACGGGCGCTCCATACTCCATCTTACTGCGAATGAGACCTTTATAAACGGTAAGAATGGAAAAACGATCTGCACCCCATGTCGTGGCAGTTATTCTTCTTAACAGATTAAGCCTTCTTTCGCAAGATTGACGCACATATCGGATGTGTTCTTTCCAGTTGAGGCGTTCATCAAAATGAATTCCAAGGAAACGTACTGTCGGTTTGCGCTGAAGGATTATCCCTTGAAAATGGAAGATTAGTCGATGCAACGGGAATCTGGTACAATGGGTGAAAACAACGACAGAGGTCTTTTCTGGGGAAAATTGAAAACACCATTTTTCTGCCCATGTCTCAAGGTGGTGAAGAGCAAAAGTCAAGAAGGAGTGGATATTTTCATGATCAGTATCAGTAACCCAGCAAACTAGATCGTTGGCATACACACCGGCTTTAATTGGGGGGGTCGTTTGTGGAAAGGCGAGAACATCATTTACCATGGTCAAGAATAGCATGGGACTTAAGATTGCTCCCTGGGGAACACCAAGATCAATAGCTTTACAGGAAGAGAGGCTGTCCCCTACATGAACTTGGAGGGTTCTTTGGTCAAGGAAGTTTCTAAGCCATCTCAACATGAGACCGTGTATTTGAAATTGAGATTGCAACTTGAATAGCAATGCTTCATGCCACATTAATTCATACGCTTTTTCAACATAAAAAAGGCTCCTACAGTCATGCCGCGCAACGCAAATCCTATTTTAATATCTTGTTCCAGACGAATAATATTGTCACATGTACTATGTAATCTACGAAATCCGCACTGTTGCTCTGCAAGAAGCTGATTAGAGCTAAGCCACCATCTTAACCTGTGATCCACCATACATTCTAATAATTTACCAATACAGGGGAGGAGTGAGATTGGTCTGTAAGAGTCTGGGGATTCTTTAGTTTTACCAGGTTTGAGAATAGGGATAACCAACGCTTCTTTCCAGTAATTCGGGAAAGCACCTTCTTTCCAACACCTATTAAACAATTTCAATAATATAACTCTGCAAGCAAGAGGTAGGAACTGCAACATCTTGTTGTGGATCCTGTCCCCACCAGGAGCTGTGGATGTTAACTTTGCTAGAGCTTCGTTGAGTTCCACCAGGGTGAACTCTGCATCAAGTGGGTGAGAGTCGAGTAAACGAAGTTGCGAGTTGAAGATTGGACTCTTTTCTTTCATTATATTTTGGGCAATCTGGGAGAGGTTTGAAACACTACTTCTTGCCTGAAATGTTTCTACCAGGCATTCGGCAACATCCTCAGGATTAGACAGGATCTTGTCTGTTCGAAGCGCCGAAATTATTGGAATGGAAGGACCGCCTGCTCCTTTCACTCTATGCCATATTTTATCTAAAGGAGTGGACTTAGTGATGGAGGAACAGTATTGTCTCCAAGAATTTCTTTTGGCTGTTTTGATAGTTCTCTGAGTTCTCACAGATGCTAATCGGAAAGCCAACCAGTCTTGTGGCAATCTAGTCTTGCGGGCAATATTTAATGTATGGCGTCTTTCAGTAACTGCCAGACTACAATCAATATTCCACCAGGGAGCATATTTCGTGTAATTAGGAAGTCCCTTTGATTGTGGAATAGTGAGCTCTGCAGCTTCCAATATAGTTTTCTGGACCTCTTCTATTGCCTCAGAAAGTGATAGAGAGTCCAAGTCTACATTTGTTATTTTAAGAACTTTTGATTTATATTTTGGCCAGTCCGCGCGTTTCATAATCCTTCGAGGTGGAGATTCTACATGTACTATATTCTCTTTAACCCATTCAATAATTATTGGGAAATGGTCGCTACCACTATGCTCACAGACAGACCATTTGGCTGAGATGTTATAGAAGTTTTGTGAGGTCAATGAAAGATCAAGGGCTGATTCTGTTTTTCCATGGGGATCCACTCTCGTAGGAGAGCCATCATTTAGAATATTAAGTACGTTTCCTTCTATCCAACTAAGAAGGGTATCTCCATTTCGTGAGGACTGAGAGCAGCCCCAAATATTATGATGACAGTTAAAATCGCCAACCAATACAAATTTTTTACTGATCAAGTTTATAGCGTTTAAAATGGTCTCAAATTCATCAATTGGACACGGTCCAGGTCGATTATATAAAGAGATAATAACTACAGCTCCACGAGGAGATTCCATCAATACACCTAAAGATTCTACTTGATTGGTGTCCGGGGTGGGAATAGGAAGAAATTGTATCGATCTGTGCACTGCTATAGCTACTCCTCCCCTACCATCCTGTCTGTCTTTTCGGATAATATGATAATCTCTACAAGTGAACTCATCTGAATTTTTTAGGAAGGTTTCTTGAAGGCATGCTACCTGTGGGTTATGTGATCTCAATATTTAATAAAATTCTTCTTTTCTGGTTTTTAAACCCCGAACGTTCCATTGTAAAATTTTGAGTGGCTGGGGTCTACGAGTTTTAGATGCTGCGAAGTTGGAGTTGATCGTGTAACGATTCTGGATCTACTGTTATATTTAGCCATCGGTGCACTGCATCAGTGACAATTTTAATTCCACTGCTTCTTTTGTTTGGAGTGTCTAAGGGAATGACAAGTATAGTGTTCAAAATTTCTGTGATGAATGGCAAGAAAGTTGTCTCAGAGTTATCTTTTTTTTTTGCGCAACATATGAGGACGACCCCGTATCTGGAGAATGAATT